CACCCCCCAGGGGGGGGAGCCTCTCTTCACACCCATGGAGAGACTTCCTTCCTGGTTTCCTCAAGGGTTCCTGGGAATTGTAGTCTCTGGGGCTAGATTGCAGCACATAGGATCTTCCCAGAGAATAAGCAGAGGCACCTTTAGTAAGGGGACTACATCAGTATGGTGAGAGAAAAAATGTGTATCATGTATCTAAGGGTACGTCTAGACTACAGGCTTTTGTCGACCGAAGTTTTGTTGACAGATACTGTCGACAAAGCTTCTGTCGACAAAGAGTGTCTAGACTACATTCAGTTCTGTCGACAAAGCAAGCTGCTTTGTCGACATGGCAGTGTAGACGCAAAGGACAGTTTAGATGCAATAATGCCTTCTGTCGACAGAACTCTGTCGACAAAAGGCGTTATTCCTCATAAAATGAGGTTTACCAGCATCGACAAAACTGCTGAGTTCTGTCGACGTTATGTCGACAGAACTCAGCGGTAGTGTAGACACAGGTTTAGTTTTGTCGACAAAAGTCCACTTTTGTCGACAAAACCCTGTAGTCTAGACACACTCTAAGGGAGCAGGGCTGAAGCACAAGGTCTATAGGCTGAGTCTTCACCACACTAGGCCATATTGCTAAGACATGCTGGTCTATGTGCCATTGGTATGCCACAGAAATGCTTTGGCATGCACCTGGCTTGCCCAGGAATCACCTCAAAGGGCATAAGATCTGTGGAGGCGAGGCAGCAGAAGTTCCCTGAATATCATCAAAAGAGTGGTAGTAGGGATGCACTGGCATCTGCCAGTTTCTGTAGCATTTGTTTGATGGGGTGAGGTTTCTCTGTCCTGCACTTTGCTGTCTATTAGAACAGGCAGTTTCAAAAAACCTGCAAACGTTTTGGAACACTTGTGTTGAGCAAAGCAGCTGTTTATTTAGTCACTAATGGCTGCCCATATGCCCTTCCCTTGTCAGGTTCTCCTCTGGGAGATACAAAACTGCGGCGGGATTGCTGGTTCTCTACTGTTGATCGTTAGGGGTCCTCGTTCTGTCCCCTTCTAGAAACTCTGCATCTGAACAATGGCAGCAGAGACTTAGAAGCAGTAGCCACTAGAGACAAAGCCACAGGGGTGTGCCATCACATTAAATAAAACACAAGGCCGTACCTCCCGCTCCTAGTCCCTGTCCCAGGGCTATCGGTTCCATGTGCCCTGTCCTCACATTGACAGCATGGGCCTGTCCCTAACCTTCCTCCTGCAGCCAACTGTAGCAGCTCTGTCTCTCACTTGCCAATCCAAGGGCTTAGAGCAAGTTTCTCAGCACATGGGCCAGGCTCATCCTTGGCACCAACTTATAATCAATCAATGACTATCACTTACTTGGCCTGGTGTCGGGATTCACCCTGTAGTACAGTAGCCGAGAGGCAGCAGCACTGTGACAGAAACAAGAGACAGGCATATTATTGCCTAGTGCACTGAAGGCCACAAACAAAGCAAACCCTAGTCCTGTCTAAAGTCTGGTTCATATATGCATGCAGGCCAGGCCAAAAGTAGGGGGAGGGGCGTTTTGAGAGTCAGGAATGCTTGCACAATCATGCATAAATTGTACAGCACAGCAAAACCAGGCCAAGAAGACCAGAAACAACCTGGTACTAGTACATCCCATTTTTGATAAGTGAAAAATTCCAGAGACAGACGAAAAGCTATTAATTAAAAGCTTTTGCAATACCCTGAGTAGCAAAACGTACCCTAAATATTGGCATACTAAGTATCTCACACAAAATATGATTAATTGGTAGATATTACTAGAATGACCAAGTCGAGTATAAATATAGGGGTAGAAAACCTAATCAGTGGGAGGGATTGGGTAAGGTGTCCCCACTTCTTTACTCACTGCAACAAGAAGGTGAACCACTTCCTACCACCCGGAAGCACTGAGGATGCCTCTGAACGTGGGGGAAAGAAAGATATCACAAACTCCTGTCTGACAATTGTTAGGGTAATAGCATTGGAACTGCATGTGATTTATAAAAATAAGTACATGTACATTCATATTCTTAAAATCGAATATCTTGTGTAATGTCTTAGGTGTAGGTATTATTATATTATATCTGTACTAACTATCCCGTGTATTGGAATAGATCTGTGTAACCTCACATTGCTTTCCTTTACTATTCAATACACAATAAAGTTAATAAGAGTTTATCTTAGGTGTTCTACTGGCTCCTCTCATATTTAAAAATCAAACCACATGACACCTGCTCTATGATTTCCTTCCCAGCCACAGGCGAGTCAGCCTGCTCTAAGGCCACTAGCCTAACACATGACCCTGAGGGAGTTTCCACAGATACATAGTAAATCCATTTTAAAAGTATGTTTAAAAACTAAGTAGGGACCATTGCTGCTGATAGAGAACACAGGAAGTCAGCTGCAAAGGAAGACAGGCCCATCAGGGTGGCTGTGTCTAGACTGCATCCCTTTTCCGTAAAAGGGATGCAAATTAGACACATCGCAATTGCAAATGAAGCAGGGATTTAAATCCCCCCGCTTCATTTGCATAAACATGGCTGCCGCATTTTCCGGCACGGAGCATTGCCGGAAAAAAGCGACAGTCTAGACAGGGATCTTTCGGAAAATAAAGCCTTTTACAAAAGATCCCTTATTCCTCTTAAAAATAGGCCAGCCGAAGGCTCTGAGAGAGGAGCACTGAGGTGCTAATTTCCTGACACAGGAGTGAAAAGACAGACAAGTTTTTCAAAGGTCCCTCCCCACGTTGCTGGCTCCAGTAGGTGGCTGAAGCGAAACTGCTCCGGGGCAGCGATCGTGGGCGGCTCAAACTTCCAACAATGTGCAGGGGGAGCTGTAAAATTTTCCCACAGTGCACTGCAAAGTGCTAGAGGCGCCACGTTTTGGGAGGGGCTCCTCCACATGGCCATTTTGCCTCAGGGCTGCAGTCTGGATGCCAGCGGCTCCCAGTTCGAGCCCACGTTAGAAACGCTTTTAAAAAACAGTGCACGTGGGTTAAAAACCAGTGCAGATGCTCGCCCCTAGAGTGCGGTAAAATGGGTCCGATGACAGGAAACCACTAGCCCTGGGTTTACGCTGCAGGGGAGATTAACGTCCGTGGGGAGGTCTAGGTTGGATCTTAGGAAAAACCATTCCCCTAGGAGGGCGGGGAAGCACTGGGATGGGGTCCCTAGGGAGATGGTGGAATCTCCCCCCTAGAGGCTTATAAGTCCCGGCTGGATGAAGCCCTGGCCGGGATGGCTGACTTGGGATTGGGCCTGTCTTGGGCAGGGGGCTGGACTCGATGAGTCCTGAGGTCTCTGCCAGCCCTACGATTCCATGAGCCCCTCTGCTGCACTGGAAGCAAGGGCTGGAGGGGTCTGGGTCATGGCTCCTTGCATGCTCCTGTCTGATGAGGCACATGCTGCTTTCTAGACGGCCTGTGACTCTAAGCTGGCCCACGTGGCAAAGTGGGTCACTTCTAGTACTTGAAAGAGAACAGCAATAGTCGCTCAGGGGACTGACGCAGTCAGGACTCTCGCAACATCACCCGGGCCTGGGAAGGGTTGAAGTGTGAGCCACAATGGCAGGGTGCGATACCTGTTCTGTACATCCTGGCTGAGCTGTTCTTCTTGCATCTGCAAAAGGAGAACAGAACAGATCATTTCCCAGGGCGACTTCCACAGCATTTCTTAAATCCCACCAGTGGAGGCGTTGAGGGAAGCTGAAGGCGATATCTCTTACACACTTATGGCTGTAGCTGCGACATACCCTACGTCTTCGCTTTAGCACCAGTTCCTGGGAGAGGAACTTACTCTGCTCTGTTCCCGCAGCAAGGAACGATGATGCAAGGGACAGGACGCTAACCAAGGACTTGGGACATCTGGGTTCAGTTCCCTGCTCCACAGAAAATTCAGTTCTCAGACTTCCCATCCCGGGGTAACAAATTGCTCTCCTTAACAACTGAGGGCAGGACAAGAAGCAATGGGCTTAAATTACATCCAGGAAGGTCTAGGTTGGACTGTAGGAAAAGCTTCCTGTCAGGGTAGCTAAGCACGGGAACAAATTACTCAAGGAGGTTGTGGAATCTCCAGCACTGGAGGTTTATCAGAACACGTTAGACACACAGCTGTGAGGCACGATCTAGGCAATACGCAGTCATGCCTCAGTGCCGGGGACTGGACCAGATGACCTTTCCTGTGTAGTAGTGCACTGCAAGACCTCAGAGGAGAGGAAGTGGGTGCTGCCTGCGAACGCTCAGGATACTATGTATATTTATACACACATGCACATACGTAAATTTGCTAGTCTCTATTGTCTACACTGCATTCCCCTTTTGGGAGAGGAAGGCAAATGCAGCTGAGAGAAAGTGCAAATGAAGCGCGGGTTTGAATTTCCCGCGCTTCATTTGCATAATCGCGGCCGGATGCTATTTCGAGATAAGAAGCGCTGTTTAGACGCGGTTATTTCGAGAAAAGAAACCCTTCTTTCGAAATAACCCTTAAACCTCATTTTAGAAGGAGTAAGGGTTATTTCGAAAGAAGGGTTTTTTCTCAGAATAACCGCACCTAAGCAGCGCTTTTTATCAAAAAATAGCGCATTTCAAAAAAGCGACCGGCCGCGATTATGCAAATGAAGCGCGGGAAATTCAAATAAAGCGGCCGGCCGCGATTATGCAAATGAAGCGCGGGAAATTCAAATCCGTGCTTCGTTTGCAATTTCGTTTGCCTGCATTTGTATTCCTCTCTCGAAGGAAGAAGGCAATGTAGACATACCCTCAGGTGCTACAGGACTACAGGATTTTGTTTCTGAGTATGGTCTTTCAACCAGCTGTGCGCCCATGCAGTAACTGTTTCATGAAGATCACGTTTCCCTAGGCTATGTCTAGACTGCAAGCCTCTTTCGAAAGAGGCTCTTTCGAAAGATACTTTAGAAAGAGCCTCTTTCGAAAGAGAGCGTCTAGACTGCACGTTGAACTTTCGAAAAAGCGGCTTTCTTTTTTGAAAGAAAGCATCCAGTGAGTCTGGATGCTCTCTTTCGAAGAAGCCCTATTTACATTGAAGAACGCCTTCTTTCGAAAGAGGAACTTTCGAAAGAAGGCGTTCTTCCTCGTGAAATGAGGTTTACCGCCATCGAAAGAAAAGCCGCGTTCTTTCGATTTAATTTCGAAAGAACGCGGTTTGAGTCTGGACGCAGGTGAGGTTTTTTCGAAAAAAGGCTACTTTTTTCGAAAAAACCCCTGAGTCTGGACACAGCCCTAGTTTGCTTATGAGGATTTCAGGTAAGACCACGTCACAAACCTTACTAAAACCAAGGCATTTCATCTCTGCTGCTTCCACCCACCCAGTAGCTCAGTGAACTCGCCAAGGACCGAAGTTAGGGTGGGACGGGCAGGAGTTTTCTTTCTGGAACATTTTCGGCAGATAGAGAGTTTAGACAAATCTATCAGCCATCGTGCATCATGAGCTTGGCACACACGGGGAGGAACTGCAGAGGCAATTCATGCAGGAGGACAAGGAATGTTTCCAGAGGTTATGCAGAATGTGGGGTATTATTATTTGGGATTTCGAATGTCTCCGATTTGTACGTTTTAGGTTCATTAAATTTTTCTAGTTTTGACTCAAAACCCATTGCCCACACACAGCCCAAGGAATTATATACTTTTCCTGCACCCGCAAGCGCATTTTACCTCTTGCCCCTGGGTATCAGCAGAGTGGTAGCAGCGATCGTTTCCACATGACTCTCTGTCACTCAGGTACCGGTCACCGTGCATTCCCCAAGAATGGTGACAAGGCGCCACAGAGCTCGTAGTCTGTGTCCTGAAACAAAATCCAAGTGACCAAGTTCCATGGTTAATCATCTTGTGTTTTCACTGCACGCCGAGTGTCATAAATCACAAAGTCCTATCACAAACTCACAGCAACTTCGGCTCACCAACCTTTTCAGCAATAATGACTTTTCAAAGATCTAGTCCATAGAACAACACCCGCTTTCAAGAGCACTCTACTTCTAACCCGCTGACATTTCAGTCACTTTCAGTACAAGCAAAATGCAGGACAATGTAGCACTTTAAAGACTAACAAGATGGTTTATTAGATGATGAGCTTTCGTGGGCCAGACCCACTTCCTCAGATCAAATAGTGGAAGAAAGTAGTCACAACCATAGATACCAAAGGATACAATTAAAAAAAATGAACAAATATGAAAAGGACAAATCACATTGCAGAACAGGAGGGGGATGCGGGTTGTCCTTTTCATATTTGTTCAGTTTTTTTAATTGTATCCTTTGGTATATATGGTTGTGACTACTTTCTTCCACTATTTGATCTGAGGAAGTGGGTCTGGCCCACGAAAGCTCATCATCTAATAAACCATCTTGTTAGTCTTTAAAGTGCTACATTGTCCTGCATTTTGCTTCAAAAAGGAGATGGACGGTCAAACCACATTAACGTAAAGTTTTGTGCTTGTGCTATCTAAAAGGCATACTACAAGGAACACACAACAAAATGTTTATTTCTTAAAATTCCATGGAAAATCTTAGAAGGTCTTTGGGGCCTCTCACTTTATACTTTTCATTTTAAATATTGTAACTGTCTTTGTTTCCTTCTTTTTCTGTACTTTTAATGGATTCTGGACAGGACTGTTCTTGGGGGAGGAAGACTGGGCCACTGCCCAAGATGCTATGATTGGAGGGCAAGGGGTGCCAGGCAGGTATCTCTCACCAACCTTAGCTGTTGACTGTCAATGGGCTTATTGGGAGGCGTGGCAACATTTAGAGAGAGTGGAGGGACCGAGCAGCAGAAGGGAGAGAGGTTTTAGACACTGAAAGTCCTGTGGCTCAGCAGAGGTAAGGCAGGCTTCTTGCCTACCCTGGCCCAGTGCCACTCCTGGAAGCAGTAGGCATATCCCTTCAACCCCTGGGATCCTATGAGGGTCTCTGTGTGGTACAGTTCACCAGCAAAGACCTAATCCAATGGCTTTAATCTTGTGTTTAAATGTACCTTATAAGAACAACATCATCTGCTCTGAAAGTATTTAATCAAATCAGAGCAGTAGGGCAGAATTCAATAAGCCTTGTTTAAAGTATCTAGCAATATTAGGTAGCTATAGGGAAAGGGTTGATTCCTATGAGGGTCTCTGTGTGGTACAGTTCACCAGCAAAGACCTAATCCAATGGCTTTAATCTTGTGTTTAAATGTACCTTATAAGAACAACATCATCTGCTCTGAAAGTATTTAATCAAATCAGAGCAGTAGGGCAGAATTCAATAAGCCTTGTTTAAAGTATCTAGCAATATTAGGTAGCTATAGGGAAAGGGTTGATTGATTCAAATATCTTGGAAGCACAATAAGCCAAGATGGTGAGTGCTCTGAGGAAATAAGAATAAGGCTTGACAGAGTGAACTCAGCTTTCTTTAAATGTAAGAACGTTTGGAAATGTAATACCATATCCTCACATACAAAACTAAGAGTCTTCCTCACGGTTGTTGCAGCCATAGCAACCTACAGCAGTGAAACTTGGCAACTCAAGAAAACAGAGGCTCAGAAGTTAGGTGTGTTTCATCAGAAGTGCTTATGGAGACTATTAGGAGGCGACGAGGAAAGAAAAATGAATGAATGGGTCAGAAAACTGGCTAAAGCAAGGTCTCTATTGCAAATAACTTTTAAGAGAAGACATCAATGACTAGGACATGTGTTAGGAATGGATCATAACTGACTACTGATTATGGCTGTCAGTTGGAAGCCAGAAAATCCAACAAGAAAGAGGGGCAGACCTGGGATAACTTGGAAGTGTACGATTATCAATGGCATCTATAAATTTAAATGGGAGGACTTAATGTCACAAGGCAGCTGATAGGCAAGCATGGAGAATATGGGAAGCCCAATGTAGTGAAAAGCACAGGATAGTATAAGATCTAAAGGTAAGATATTAGGAACTGTGGCATTTAATCCCTGTTCTAAAAGATTTACCCATGTCTTAAATCTAAGGATGTGTTGGACTCCTCATGTAGTTGAAGTGAGTGTTAGTAGTAATCATGTTGATTGCATCTGTGACTAATGGTCCAACAAGAATGGGTCCCATCATGCTAAACACAGAAGTACACAGCCCAAATGAACAAAATAGACAGCAAGAGAGGGAA